TGGGGATGAAAGTTTGAGGCTAGAGAATATAAAAGCTCAAGGGAAGACAAACTGAGATTAAGGGATTTAGATGCTAGGAAAGACTGTTGAACCTTCTCATGTCAAGGGATTAATTTTCAGGAGACTTGCAAAACAACTGAGAACACTCTGCTTTGGGCAGTTGGAGCCTTCTGTAGAGGAATTACAGGGTGACTTCAGGGTTAGAAGAAATTCATAAAGTTCTTTCTCTTCCAAATGAAGTCCTGGGTAGTAGCATTTTAGGAATTTCAGCAGAAAGACAGATAACAAGATAAGAAGAATTTTTCCCCTGGTTGGAATGCATGTAGGGTACTTGTTTTTTCTCAGGGTGAAGAAGTAGAAGGAATTTCTTTAAAAGGCAAGACTTCCAGGGAAAAGAAGGGAATTTGAATGAAAAAATTCTACTTCAGACACAGGATGTAACCCTAGGCCAAAAGAGAGGGAAGGAGCCTGGATCTGCTCAAATGAAAGGTGGCCCAGTCCTCAGGAGAAATAGGGGAGAGGAGTAGATCCCAAAGGAAAACCTACATAGTTAGGAAGGGGGTGTAGCTCAGTGGTAAAGCTTTTGCCTGGCATCTGCCAGGCCCTAGGTCCCTACATTTGATCTTTAGCAACACACACACACACACACACACACACACACACACACACACACACGAAAGAGGAAAATTATTAGAGGCCATTGTTTTTAACTAAGGTCCTGAATTACTGCTCCCCAACACATCAGGGTAAAAATCAAAATGATCTTATCTGACCTATTAAGAATTAGAATTAGAGGGCCAGGGATTTAGCTCAGTGGTGCTGCTGGTTGCCTCGAAAGTGCAAGGTCCTGAGTTTGATCTCGGGTACCGAAAAAAAAAAAAAAGAATTAGAATTAGAGAAATAACAGCCAAAAATTCCAAACCTGCCAAATTTAATGGTATGATAATGAAATTCCCTCTGCTTTAATCTTTACACAAAGGAGAAATCAGAGATAGTCTGATGTTCACTGATCAGTTATTTTCTTGTTATTCTGTCTCCCTGCCCCACTTTACAAGGAGAGTAACTACAAAATGACCAACAAACTCCATCAGCTTTTTGGTTTCTTGTTTCTGTGTTCTTCAAACCCTTCTCTGTCTATAAAGCCAACCTCTTTCGCTCGGAGCATTGGAACATGTATTCTACTTTCCAGAATGAAGTGCTGCCCAATTCTACAATGAAAGTTAAAGCCGATGGCTGGGGTTTCCGTGGTACAGTGCTTGTCTAGAATGTGTGAGGTGCTAGCACCAGGGGAAAAAAAGGTCAATTAAGATCTTTAAACTAAATTGTTGCAATTTGGTCCTTTGACACTAGAAACTCAGGTGATAACTAAAATGATGAAAGGGAAAGCTGCAAAAATAACCTGTCGATGTGAATGCTGCATGCTCAGACATGTACATCAACAGATGCATTTTATTTAGAACTGCAATGGCATTTATCCACTATTACCAAGGTCACTAGTAAGGGGAGGAATGAGGGGCAACATAGGATGGGGGTTTTCCTTGTTGACTCTATATCTTACTTCAATCCTTTATATGAACAATATAACCATTTTCTTAAAAGACAATCAGAGGAAAGAGAAACAGAGAGAGAGAGAAAAAAAAAAGAGAGAGACTAAGCAAATCACAAAATCCAAAGCCAAGTTTTAACACTTCCCAGTTCCCTTTTCTAAGTCCTTCCTCCCACTAATATGCTTGTGGTGGAGAAGAGAGAAAGGCTTTTCATTTAATTAAAATGAAAAATTCTTTTTTTTTACTGCCTGGTGGCCAAGGATATTCTGCTGACTCAGCACTGAATAATCAGCTTTGACCTAAATAATAGAATAACTCAAAGTTGCCTAAGCATGATTTAAATCTGCAGTTTTTCCCTCTCTCCTTTACTCCCTCCAGGCTCCCGACAGCCAAGCAAGTTACAGCAGGTTCTTTCTACTCCCATCATCTGGCTCATCCCAACTTTATTTCTCATCCACCACAGTGCTAGACTTGACCTCATCTCCTCCCTAACACCCTTGTCCTGGGGCTTTGCTGCACCCGCTCTCCCTGTAGGCTCAGGCTCCTGTCCTCCAGGCCTCTTCGAAATACACCGGGGTCCTCTCCACAGAGGGTGGCCTTTCCTCAGTGTCACTGATTGCTTAGGGGATGAAACCCATCATCACCGAGCCAAAATGAGACAGCAGAAAAAAAGGAGTTCCTGTGTAAGCATACTTGTGCCACACCCAAGTTCTCTGCTTCATGTGTGCATATGTGTGCATTTGTGCATGTGTGTGTGTGTGTAGGGGCATATACGTGGACATATGCACCTTGCCCTGCTGCAGCTCCAAGTAGCCTTTGCAGCTGGGGGAAAAGGACACTAAAGAGCAAGAAGTGTGGAGCAGTTCTCCATCTCCTCTAAGGAAACAGGAGGAAAAAGGGCGGGTTTAAGATTTTTTGCTTATGAAGGTAGAAAAATACTTAAACACCTATCTCAAGGACACTGAAAAATGCCTGTCTTTGGACAAGACTGACTGCTGTTAAGTTGGAGGCGATTTCCTTGCAGTTCTACTTAGGAGACAGAGGAGAGGCCAAGAATGCTTTATGGACTCCTCTATGGCAAGAAAAAGAGAGAGGAGAGGAGCTCACCATTTTGTCATCAGCACAGTTTCTCAGTTCCCTGTTGTCTCGGGGATGGCAGTCTAGGTGAGGGCAGGCTGTGGAGGGGACTGTGAGCAAGCCCTCCTTCTGGAGCTAGCTGCAGGCAGGAGCCACTCCTGTCTCTTGAGAGGGTTGGGCCAGGTCTGGTGTGAGGGGGCCACGGACTCCCCCACTACTCCAGAGGGTGTTTGTGCAAGGGGTCAAGCCCTGGGCAGGTTTGGGGACTACAAAGGCACTCCACACCAGCCTGGGAGGGACTGAACATCCTCAGAGCTGTGATTCCCAGTAGGAGGGTAAGGGTGGCCTCTTGTTTGAGACACTTCAGCAGCATCAGCAGGAAAAAGGAAACTGTCTGTGTGCACAAGACACAGAAACAGCAGTGGCCAGCACTCGTGTGGTTCCCCTTCCTCCCCCATTAGCTTGCCTGACGACAGAAACAGCAACTTTTCCTGAATTCTCATGTCCTCTTTTCTTCCCTCCCCATAGCTCTATTTTTTTCTTTTTTCTTTTTCTTTTTTTGAGACAGGGTCTCTCTATGTAGTTTAGGCTGGCCTTGATCTCACTATGTAGCCCAGGCTGGCCTCAAACTCGCAGATGATCCTCCTGCCTTGCTTCCCAAGTGCTGGGATCACAGGCATGCGCCACCACACCTGGCAGCTCTGGATCCAGCTAAGAATAAACACAAAGTGGCCCCAACAGGCAGACACGCCAGCTCTCCCTCGAGGACCAACATGACTGAGGCCCTGGGCACCCAGTGCTGTGTGGAGGGCACCCGTCCCTTCTCTCACGCAGTCCATGTGCTCCCAAGGCACAGGCATACAATCTCCTCTCACCGTGGGGCAGGGTGGGTAACTGCCAAGTGCTCAAGACACTGTGGTTAGAACAGGCGGAGCGGAGATGCAGGGCTGGCAGCCTGGTTCTGGGGCCTGCATCCTTCTGCCTCCAGGTCTCTGGGAAGACCTGACCCAGCACATGGAATAAAGTCCCCAAACAAGGGTCTCAGCCCCACATTACCACTTGCCTAGGTGTGTGTGGGGATCTATCCCAAGGCTGCCCTCCACCTCCACAGAGGGCACAATTGTCAAGAGAACCCATAGCTGCCTGTGAGAGGAACTGGGGTGCTGAGTGGTCCTCCTTCTCCCTATAAACCAGCAGGATGAAGGGAAACTGCCCACACCTGGGAAAGGCTTCGTGGAGGGTATATGTGTTAGGTGTGGGAAGTCGGCCAAGCCAACTGTAGAAGTGCAGCCTCTGAAACATACCGGAGTAGTTGCTTGAGAAGTCAGCATTTAATTAAAGATGTAGAATATCCTGGCCCTCGGAGATCACCGGTAGCAGAGATTAGTGCCAAAACATACTTCCTAGAAAGAGCTCTGCAGAACTTCTCTGTGAAGCCTCTCCATTTCAGCTCACAGAGACCTTTCCCCTTCTCGGAATTAGTATTGCAACTGATTGAATCCTAACCGCAGCATCTGTCTTTATGGATTTTCCCTGGTTAAAAACCTCATCCAGGGCTGGGGATTTAGCTCAGTGGGTCCACTGCCTGCCTTGCAAGCTAAGGACCCGAGTTCGATTCCTGGTACCAAAAAAAAAAACCTCATCCAGGACAGGGCCTAGAGATAAACTCTTTCCCAAGAGAGTTTAGAAAGTGTGAGTTGGCAAGTTGACAGGGAAGTAGACCAGACTTCTGCCAGAGGCCAGAATAGTCTTGCTGTGAGCTGCAGGGAGAAGCCAGCATGATGCAGAGTGCTGGAAAGGAAATCAGGAGCCCTGGAATCCACTCAGGGCCGGCCTGCTGGGGTGAGCCTTTTGCCTGCCTCTCAGTTTCTGTATCTGTTCTAGGGAGATGATAATACTGGCCCAGCTTACTTCATGGATTTGTCATGAGATTCAAATCAGATAATGTGGAGAAAGTGCTTTGCTCCTATAAGGAATCACGTCAGTGAATATTACCATGCTTCCAAGGAGCTACTTAAGTTTCTTCTTTTTAACACCAGATAATTGTATGCAAAATCCATTCCTCCAAAACACATTTGTAAGAAATATAAAGAAAAGTAATGGAAAACAACAACAGCAACAACAAAAGGAAAAGGAGCACTAGAGACTCATAGGCCCCACAAGGCTGAAAGAGGCTGTCTTGTTTGTGTTGTTTGTTTTTTGAGACAGGGTCTCCCCATGCAATTTAGGCTGGCCTTGAACTCACTCTGTAGCCCAGGTTGGCCTCAAACTCACCACGATCCTCCTGCCTCAGCCTCTGGAATACTGGGATTACAGGCCTGTGCCACCACACCTAGCAAGAGGCTATCTTGAAAGCAAGGTGCAGAGGACACTTACATAAGCAGATAGCGGCTAGGAGTCGAAGTCCAGACTCGGGGGGGAAGCAGGTGGGGAAGAGCGGCTGCAGCACGTAGTTGGAGAAGGTGAGCGCGATGACAGCTTGGTTGGTGGGGTAGATCACCAACACAGCGATCCACAGCCTCAGGAACCTAGGGGGAAGGAACAAAACACCATGTTGATGCTCCCAGGCATGGCAGGCGTTCAGAAATCATCAGAGGAAAACTTGGGCAAGCGGTGGGCAGCCATGAGCAGAGGCAGGGCATTAGGGGGATGGATTTCCTTTTTTGTATTCAGGGATGCTAAAGTCTCCCTCTCCTGGCTCCCACTCCCACCTCAAATGAGACATCTAGCTCTCTGCAATGGCAGTACAATGGTTTCATGATGAAGAGCTAAGTTTCAACTGGCACTAACACAAGTCTTGGCATTCTCTCTCTCCACGTTCTTTTCATCATCTCTTCTCTGCCACTCTGCCCCCAGCATCCAATAGTGGAAAAAGTAAATTTGCAACCTCAGAGTTCTGACATCTAGGATGTGTTAAGGGTGTGGCTATCTGATGCCACTGCTGGGGAAAGGGAAAGGCATCCTCCACACCCTTTGGCCCATGGGTGAGGGCTGAGATTTTAGCAGGGTTGCAGAAGCTGTGAAAACTGAAGATCAGGGCTGGACTCCATAGGGAAGCCATTATCTTTGGCGATATGAGAAGATGGTACACTGTACCTTAGGCAGTCATTCCCATGTGTTAAGATAAGAGGACCTTGTGATTGCTTTCCCTGGCAGTCTGTGGTCAGTGTTGTCACATAATTTTATTTGTTCTTCCTCAGGGACTCTTGCCCACTAAGGTCAACATAAAGATTAAAAGCTCAACCTGGTTCCTCTGTCATTCTCAGGAGTACCAAGTGGACACAAGGCTAACATGGAAGCAAAAGAGCAACCTGACCTCTTTCTGTACCATCTCACCCTCCCCCCATCACTCAGGCCTCTGCAGATCTGCTTACCCAGCTAGTCCTCCAAAGATGTCCTTGACATAGGAGTAGTCACCTCCAGATTTGGGGATGGTGACCCCCAGCTCAGCATAGCAGAGGGCTCCCACAGCTGTGATGATACCTGTCACAATCCACACAATGAGAGCGAGGCCAACGGAGCCAGCATTCTCCAGCACACCCTTTGGTGAGACAAAGATCCCGGAGCCAATGATGTTCCCTGTACAAAGCACCAAGAGTAAGAAGGGAAGTCAGTGAGATGAGGAAAGTTGGCAGAACTGGCTGGTCACCTCTCTGATATGATTCTTAAATGCCTCTGAGGTGTGTAAATGACCTTCAGGCAGTTGTGTCTAGTAAGAATCCTTCCTAAAGTAGGTAAAGAGAAGCTGAGAACCAACTTGTATTGATCAGGAATTTGGTTTCATACTTTACACATTAATTTGATTCTATGGAGTCAAGACAACATTTCTCACATTTTCCAGAGGAGAAAACAGTCTGAGATACTAAGTGAGTTGCTGGAGTCCATGTAGTAGTAGTAAGTGATGGAGTAAATACTGACTCTCAGGATACTCTAAGTGGGCTACACAATGGTCCGTCCAAAGTGATAAAGGTCTCAAGACTGGCGGAAAAGAGCAGAAGTGGAAAAGTGGGCTGGTCTCAGATACCCTGTACCACCTACACAGCTTCAACATTGAGTCAAAAGGCAAAATCCAATCTTTTGGACAGATCGTGGTTGCACCCTACAATTGGGGGTTTTCAAGATCTATGAGTATAGAGGCTGGCTTCCACTCCAGGCACAACAGCTCCACCCTAAATGATGAACATTAAATAACCCTACAAAAATAATCCCAGTAGTCTGGAAGTGGTTTGTAGAAATACACTGCGTGCAAAGCCTCAGCACTATATTCCTCCAAAGGTCATTCCCCTCCAGGGTTTCATGTGACCCTCACAACAATCTTTCACAATTCAAGAAGAGGAAGGGCAAGTATTTCTCAATTTACAAACCAAGAGACTAAAATACAGAGGGTTAAATGGCTTTCTCCAAATTCCATGGTTACTCTTGGGTAAAACTGGGTACAGGAGTCTCCTGATGCTTAGTCCAGTGTTCTTTTCTCTAATTCACTTCTGCTGCTGCGTGTATGGGGCTGGTTTTCTCTTGAAGGTGAGATCCCCAGAAAGTACTGAATGGATGATTCCTGGGTTGGGTGCTGTGGGCAGGGGAGGAGTATGGGAGCATTTCCCAGCATGTATCTTCTGAAGTTTTCCTTTGTATCCTTCTGTATTTATTTTTTCTGGTACTGGAGATTGAACTCAGGGGCACTCTACCACTGAGCTCCATCCTCAGCCCTTTTTGTTTTTCTCCAGTACTGGGGATCGAACTCAGGACCTTGAGCTTTCGAGGCAGGTGCAGTGCCACCAAGCTAAATCCCCCCTGCCCTCAATCCTGAGCCCTTTTTATTTTTTACTTTTGACAGGATCTCACTATCTAAGCTGGCCTTGAACTTAACAATCCTCCTTCTTTACTTTGTCTCCTTATGATTAAAGGTGGTGTTTTAGCATTTTGCTGCTATGACCAAATACTTGAGAAAAACCAATTTAAAGGATAATAGATTTATTTTGGCTTATAGTTTCAAAAGTTTCAGTCCATAGTCGGTAGGTTTCATTGCCTTTAGGTTTGTGGCTAGGCAGAAACATCACGGTGGAAGGGCAGGGTGGAGGAAAAGTGCTCACCTATAGCAGCCAGGAAGCAGAGAGGGAATGAAGCAGAGGAAGGGGCTGGGAATCAGATATAGTACCCAAGTTTCTGCCCCATGATCCATTCTCCTTAACTAGGCCTCACTTCTTGTTTCTATCACCTTCCCACATTGCCATCAAATTATGACTTCATGAATGGATTAATCCACTTGTGTAATTTGAGCTCTCATTATCCAATACCTTCCCCCAAAGCCCATCAGCAACCAAACCTTCAACACAGTGAACCTTTTCGGGGACATTTGAGATCTCAACCTTAACAGAGTAATCAGGATCCCCTGGACAGGTACTTTGAAAACTCTCTCCATGCCCTGCCCAGCTGCACCACTAAATGCCTGAGGGGAAAAACAGAGGTTTAATGGATCCAAGTGGAGATACAGAGCTGGACTATTATGAGGCCAGTTGGATTTGACAGTGTTCTGGGAACATCTTAAAATCCCACCATCTCTCTTTAGTGGTCTGGAATCAATGATCTCAGGGTATGCTCAATTTTCAAAAACTGACTTTCAGATCTCAACCCTAACTCAATCTCAATTCAGTTCTGAAACTCTCACTTCTAAACCAGAGTTAAAAGGGAAGAGAAGAGACTATCTATGTTCTAGAAAGAACACAGAATATGCTGACCCTTTCCAAACTACAAAGTTGTGGCATGAGATGAGTAATGAGTGTAGGGAATAGGTCCAGAGGGCATAAAAATAACAACTACCTGATTCTGATTCTGAGACACAGAATCAGAAAGCATGTGGCCAAAGCTAGAAATAGATGAAAAGCAAGCACATTTCTGTTTCAAACATGTCTTCCTTCTTTTAGTGTGAGCAGTCTATCCCAGCAGAACAAAGATATTTATAGAAAAGAAGCTAGAAAGAAACAATCCATTATCATATTTGTGATAGAAATATCAGATCCTTAGTGACCTAAGTTCTTTGAAAGCTTTTCCTTTTCCTGTATGTACAGTACTAAGATAGGAATGAGGAGACATCTTTCAGCCTCCTCTATCCTCAACCAATCCCCATGTGCGGTCTGCATGAAGTGGTGCTAACTTCGCCGAGATTAAAAGACCTGCTCACGGTGGCCCCAGACGCAGCACATGTTCAGCCAGTCCAACGACTCTTCACCTGGCAAAATTAAGTATGTTGCTGTTTCCTGAAGGCACCAAGCACTGAGAAATAAGAGAACTAGAGACAGGTTGCTAATATTGCTGGAAGACCGTAAATTCCTTGCCTAGCAGGAAGTTATCAAAAGAATCGTCTATAGGTCATTTCAAAGCCAGCCAAGAAGGGAGCAATAGAACTAGGGCTATAAAACCAGCTCAGGGGGTTGAAAAACAATCAATACTAAGAAGAAAACTTCTAACCTGTACTTACTAAGAAGAAAACAAGATTTGACTTTGGTCTTTAAGGTACTGAAAAAGGGTCGGGGGACAGGGAGCAGCTTGGGGTTTCTTAAGAGTCAGAAACAATTGCCTCAAGAGGCAAAGTAGGGATGGGTGTCACTTAAAAGATCTGACCTTCTCAAGAGTGAAGAGTCAGTGTTCCACTAAGGGCTCCAGGTAAACAAACACAGCCATGATCGGCAAGTCAGCTTCAGTGAGCAGTGCTCTCCTGCCATAGGACATTTCCAGAGTGTGTGTTCACTCCTCCTTGTAGGTTGCAGGAGCCACTGGAAGATGGGATGAGCAACACCAACTGCCCTCTGAGAGGTCTGACCCATTGTGTCCTTCTTCCTCTTGTTCTTGGAGGTTCCATGACTTTCCTGGGAGCTGGCAAAGTGATTGGGAGGGTCATAGTAGGTTAGCTTCGGGATAGGAGTTCTCATTTTCTATTAGTTTGGTTCTCTTTCCTTCAAAAGAATCTTAATTTTAGCTAAATTAAAACCACGAAGAGAAAAGCTACATACACAAACTCTCTGTCTCTCTCTGTCTGTATTTCTCTCTGTCTCTGTCTCTCTCTCACTCTGTCTCCCTCTCCCTTTCTGGGTAACAAGGACTGAACCTAGGGTTTTTGTGCTGAACCTCACCCCCAGCTTTTTTTATTTTATATTTTGAGACAAGAAGCTCACTAAGTTGCTAGGCTGGGTTTAAACTTACAATCCTTCTGCCTCAACTTCCCAGAATGCTGGAATTTCAGGCATGTACCACCACACTCAATGCCTCTCCCTGATTCTAAAAAGCCACTACCTAGAAAACTAGAATTTGAGAACATTTCCTTTGCCTTAGCAGCCTCTGGAACTTGTGCAGAGGGGGGAGTGTGACAGCAGAAGTATGCTCTGGAGCCAGAAGGAAATTTACATTGCTTTTATTTAAAAACAATGCCTGGGCCGGGGATTTAGTTCAGTGGTTTCGCCAGGTGCAAGGACCCAAGTTTGGTCCCCGATACCAAAAAATAAAAACAATGTCTACTGGATACAATCTTAAGTGTGACTCTTTGATTAATATTTATCTCCCCGCTAGACTGTAAACTCCAAGAGCAGGAACTGCGTTGCTTTCCTTCTTTGTGAGGGGGTTCCCTTGTAGAAGAAACTCCATAAAGGTTTACTGAATACATAATGACAGACATCATTTCTTGCATTTTTCTTTAGAATTTCCAAATCCTATAAGACCGTTGAGCACGTATTACAGGCAAATGAGTAAAGCAATCCGCTTATTTTGCTGCTGAGGAAAGCAGACTGACCATTATTACCATCTCCAATTTGTAGGGGAAGAAAGCAAGGCAACTATTATATTCCCAATTTCCAAACAGAGAAAATGAGTCATTATTATCCATATTTTATGGATGAAGAAAGCAAGATCCAGAAAGGTAGTTATCTGCCTAAATCACAGAGTGAGTTAATAATAACTGGATCAGAACCTAAATATTCTGCCACAGCTTTGAGCTTTTCCCTGAAAATACAAACCCTTCTCACTTATACTCAGGTCAGCTTTCCACAATCCACTCTATAGACAATGGGAATGGGAAGCCACTTGTTAAAAACCTGGAACACAGCTGATTCCTCCTATCTGATTGCTTCCTCCTATTGCAGTGCTACCTTCAGTGGTAATTTATAAAACATTCATGTCCATGACCTTTCTCGATTCTCATAACTGCTTTCTTAGGTGTGCAGGACAGGTGCCATCATTCCCATTTACCTTTGTGGAAAAGACTTGTTCAAGCCACACATTGCCTGAGCAGCTAGGCCAAGTCCTCGGAGTGCTGGCCCAGTCTCCCCCAGACTCCATGCTGCTGCTCCTCTAGAGAGTGTGCTGTCTAAAGGAGACTTTCATGGAGAGACTTTGAAGGAGAGCTGGGAAAGGGCTTTTCTACCTGGCTGGAAGACTTTCTTGATGAGATGTAGGAAGAAAGTTGATTGGTGTGGGAATTTTGTTTTCTCTATTGTTTTACTCTCAGACGCATTGTTTGTAAGAATGTGATACACATTGTCTGGTAATGCTGAGGTACCAGAGGTCAAGGTTTTAGTCCTGCTTCCATTCAC